AAAAAAAAAAATATTAGGAAATGTCAATAAGCAGAAAAATAAACAGTATAAATTCTGCTCCTATCAAAAAAAGAAAAAGAAAAAAAAAGAAATATCAATGATGAGAGAAAATCATTGATTGGTTGCCTCCTGCTCACCCTACTGGGGAAATAAAAAATATTAGGAAATGTCAATAAGCAGAAAAATAAACAGTATAAATTCTGCTCCTATCAAAAAAAGAAAAAGAAAAAAAAAGAAATATCAATGATGAGAGAAAATCATTGATTGGTTGCCTCCTGCTCACCCCCTACTGGGGATCAAGCTCACAACCCAGGCATGTGCCCTTGGCTGGAATTGAACCTGGGACTCTTCAGTCCGCAGGCCAATGCTTTATTCACTGAGCCAAACCAGCTAGGGCTAATGATTTTTTTTTTTTAAATGAGTGAATGAATCACTACAAGTCAAAAGGTCCTCATTTTACTTGTCAGAGAACGTTTTCTGTAGTCCTTATAGAATTCCTCCATATGGTTTAACTCTTATATTACATACAATCTGACAAGTGTTGAGGGAGTCTATTCACTGCTAAGTCTCTGATGTAGGGCATCCAGGGGAAAAGCAAAATGAGGCCCCAAAACTGAATAATGTACCAAGTTTGTGAAACCCTCCTCCTCCCCATAAACGTCTCCGAGATGATCAAATGCCTCTGTCATTCCCTGTAGCCCCTCCCACTCTGTATCACAATGCCTGTTATTTCGGAGAGCCATTGCCACAACTCTGCTAACAAACCACCCAAAACTGAATGGCCTAAAGCAGCATAATTTATTCTTGCTCACAAGTCTGGGGTCCGATGGAGCTTGGCTGACCTAGTTTAGGCTAGGTTAGGCTTGGCGCCAAGCTTCAGATGGCAGCCATGTGGCTCTCACCCTCCTTGGACAAGTGTCTCCTGGGAGATGATCTCATGTGATAGCAAAACACAAGCAAAGTGAGCAAAAGCACTCACAGCTTTGCTCAGGACTGGCTCACTCTTGTCTGCCCGCATTCCATTGGTCAAAGCAAGTCACATGGCCAAACCTGCCATCACAGGGGCGGGGAAATGGCCCCACCTCCAGTGGGAGGAGTTGTAAAGTTACACCAGGAGGAGAAAGAAATGGGAGCAGCCATGCCAACGGCCATACCTGCTTCTTGTCTGGCCCCCCGTGGGTAGGGACAGCCTTGAGGACTGAGGCCTGGTCTCCATCATAGCCTTCATGGCCTACACAATGCCCAGCCCCAGAAAGTACCAGGCAAGAGTGATGACTAAGAGTCTAATAGGAAGTTGGGAGTGATGAGTAAATCCAGACCCAACCCCTACCACCACCCATCCCCCATTTCCTGGAAGGAGTTTGACTTGTTCTCCACCCCAGGAACAGATGGGATTCTCAGTGGCTCACAGCACACCCAGATGGCTCCTGATGTCCAGGGCAGGGCTGACCCCTGCGGAGTGGCCCTGCGCTCCAGAAGCCTCCCTCAGCAGGGAGACCCAGCAGAGGCATGGCCTCAGAGCTGCGGCTTGAACCCCACTCCATGATGAGGAGCAGTGATGAAGGTGGCAGAGAGTCTGCCCTTAGCTGGGTGTCTGCCCGGGCTATCTCCCCTAAGCTCTTCCTATGCTGCATAGGCCCGTCCTCCGCATGTGTCTGAAAGTTAATATTCCTTAACTTTACCTCTATCCCACCCTCTGGCTCATCAGGCCACCTGGTACCAAAAAGACCCTATCAGCACTGACCAAGCTGCCTGTGCCTCCGGACACACATTAGCGTGCCGTGTCCCCAGCTGCGCAGGCCTCAGGCCGGCTCAATGGGTCCCTGGGAAGGATATGAAAGGGGCAGGACTTCCACGCACCAGATGTAACCCAGCACTACGCACCCTGACACTAGTAAGTGAGTGAAATCCAAATGTTGATACAGAGACTGGTGTAACAGTGACAGCTATTGAGCTAAACACAGCGTTTCTTCTCCTGTTTACCCATGCTGGGAACAGTATGCCAGTTTCACAGATCGTATAGTAGAAGATGTTTAAGAGGTTCCGTGTCTTGGCCAACACCTAACAGCTAGTAAATAGGGATGGAGTTTAAGCCCACAGCCCTCACACTTCAAAAAGAAGCTTCTGTGGCAGGTGCCATAGTTTCCTCCTCCATCTTTCCCCCCTGCTTCCCCAATAACAGCCGCCAGACTCTTAGCCAAACAAATAACCATTCCACACCAAGACTGCATTTCCCATCCTTCCTTGCAACTAGGAGAGGCAACATGACAAAATCAGGGTCAATGAAATGCAAGTGGACATGGATGGTCCACCTGGAAGTCTACTTGAAAGTCTCCACCACTCTTCCCTCCCGCAGCCTCGGCCAGGGGAGAGCTGGCTTGCAGCACCACCGTGGGCCACAGCTGTGGGCCCCTTGTGGAGAGGAATGGGGTGCAACAGAGGAGGGTGGCTTCGTGGAGCTGCCCCGCCCAGCCTGCCTGCCTTTACATGCTCAGGCTTTCTGTCCTGCACAGCAAACCTAGCCCCTGCATGTTAGCCGCTCAGAGTTCAGGAAAAGGACCAGGTAAGAAGCCCTGCGGGCGCGGGTGCTCAGTGGTGTCTGATGATTGACAGGCAGGAGGAGCTGTGCAGCCACCTCTTGGAGGAAAGCACCCCTCCCCCAAGTGCAGGTTCAGGATTGGCTGGGACTATGTGAGGATTTGTAACCATGTTTAAACACATTTTTCCACCAGAAAGTCAGGCTGCATCCATTCAGGGCAGCTGCTAGCTCAGGCTCCACAGAGCGACAGCTGGGAACCTGTGAGGTCTAGTCCTAGCCCTTTCTCAGGTGCGGGAAGTGAGTTGGCCGTTAACCCTCTTCTCACAATCACACATCTGGCCAGGGTTAGAAGTAGAGGTGTTTCTACCAGGACCCTGTCCCAGTCAAACAACACTCTCCAATGCCTGCGTGCGGCAGCCACTCCCCCTCTCTCTGCCCAGACCCCCTCCGCCCAGGCCCCCCTCCGTCCAGGCCCCCCACCCAGAGAATTGCCTTGGTTTCTCTCTGTGGACTTTGGCAAAATAGCAGCCTTCCTGTGACCTTTCCAGGAAGTGGCCTCAGACAATAACCACAAACAGGTGGCAGCGATTGTTTTCAATAATCAAAGCCCCCAAAAGGCTGCAGCCCAACCCCGTGTGGGAAGCCATCAGCCTTCGCAGAGCCGGAGGAAAAAGAATTTGTTTGCGGAGGTTTGCACCGAACACTGTGTGCCTGGCCCACTTTCCTTAAATGTCTTTGAGACAGGCAATT